AGGTGCCAGACTGCAGGGTTGTGGGCTCAAATTCCAGGTGGGCTGCTGTTGTATGTTTGACCAATCTGGTTTCACTCAGATTTCTCTAGTAAATTGCCCTGCTATGTGTAAATGGGTCTACAGGTCTTTACTGTAACAGGGAGTTTGTTCTCAATTGACTTACCTGCTACAATATCCAGAAAAGAAAAAAAGTTAAGAGATGTAGCGCAGTGGTTTATTATTCTTTGCCGTTGTTTGTTGAGAATGTATTGATGTCTTTTTTTTTTCTGCTATGATTTTGTTGTGTGACTCTTTACTACAGAGTTTTTTAAAACCATTCTAGGCAATCTCTTGCCCAGTGTATTCTTAGTGAAATAAGCCCATCTTGAAGGCCGAACATGATGAACACCCAACTCCCAAGAACAGAAAGCAATATCAAAAAGTCAGAGCCAAAACCTTCATTTCCATCACAAGACCATTTAGAAGAATCAGCCCATAAAACGAAAGAAGTGGAATTGGAGGATTTCGAGTTTGAATGTTTTCAGAAAGCCGGCAGCCGAAAACATTGTGGAGCTCATGTGGTCTTAGTGTCTTTCCCCCTCAGGGTGTTCTCGGGAGAGAACGGCCCGTTTTGGATTATTTAAATGAGCTTTTATTTCCTTTTGTCCTCTGCAGCAGAACTGCCTCCTCCTTACACTGCCATAGCCAGCCCAGATGCCAGTGGTGTGCCCGTCATTAACTGCAGGGTGTGCCAGTCTCTCATCAACTTGGATGGCAAGCTGCATCAGCACGTGGTGAAATGCACCGTTTGCAATGAAGCCACGGTAGGCGCCCGTCAGTCTTGTCCACAATCCTGCCTTCTTCTCCATTTTTTCTGATGTGTTTGTGGGTTTTTTTAATATCGGAGCTTTTTTATAGAGGGTAGTGATGGTCGTTTTGTCACATCTGATCCTAGTGTGGAGTATGGTTGTATCTCGGCGGTCCTGCCCCTCCCCCTCTTTCTAAACACATCAATAAAATGGTTCATTCTGCTGTGGCAACAGATTATCTTAAGTGCTGTGCTGACAGAATTTATGCTTGCTTCTGCACAGGCTGGAAGGCAATGGGATTGCAGCTAGATGACATTAATAGGCAGTCTTGCCAGTATGTTTTATTTTGTACTTGATGGAAGGCGGTTTATTTAAAAGAACAAGTTTAAAATATGAACACATTAAGTGATTTACAGCTGTATCTTAGTTTTGGTGTGTTGTCGTGAGCAGGTCTCAGGCCAGGATGCCTGCATGCCCTTGTGCTGTTGAACAGCCTGCTCTGTTTGTGCTCTTGTGAACAGTATAGCATTGAGTAAATGTGATGGTTTTATTTTGGGTCTTAACTGCAGCAGGATAAAAAAAAATGACAACCTTAGTCCTATAAGAGATAAATGAGAACAAATGACCCGAAAAACCTCATGATGTGATGTTACTCCTTCTACAGAGTTAAGAAAGATACAATTAGATATTGTGGATGGTGTAACTGAATTCTACTGGTGGTTTGGTAGAAAAATGTTCCTTATAGCTTTTCAGGGCATGCATAGTATTTTCTGAATGCCTAATGCATTCTTTAAATTTCCAAATTGCAGAATTTGTACCAATTTTGTTAATAAAATTAAAAATACAGCATAAGGATAGTAATGATTTACTGTTTACAGCTAAAGACAAACTCTCTTATTCTTAGTCGGGTTTTGAATGTCAGCTTGACTGACCTATACAGACTTATACCTATACAGTCTATACAGACTGGGGCCTATACAGAGAGGCGGCACTGTGGCTCAGGATCTGTGCCTGTGGCTGGAAGGTTGCGGGTTTGTATCCTGCAGCCGGCAGAGGAATCCTACTCCGTTGGGCCCCTGAGCAAGGCCCTTGACCCCTACTGCTCCAGGGGCGCTGTACAATGACTGACCCTGCGCTCTGACCCCAAGCTTCTCTCCCTGTATTTGTGTCTGTGTCTCATGGAGAGCAAGCTGGGGTATGCGAAAAAGACGAATTCCTAATGCAAGAAATTGTGTATGGCTAATAAAGTGATCTTATCTTATCTCTTTCAAACCCCACAAAATCCCTTGGTGCACAGTGGTTAGATGGTCACAGTAGAGGTTACTAGTTTGGCAGCAGTTATTGGGTAATTTTCAGGCTTCCTGGTTCAAATTAAACATTTGTACTTTTAGATTAGCTAAGACCTTCCCCTCTCTTTGAAGACAAGGTGGCTGAAAACTGAATTCGCCATGCTTTCTCCAAGGCTAGAACATCAACATGCTGGCATCTAGACCATGCAGCAGTGTAGTCAAGTGTTTGCAGCTCTGTGCAGGGAGCTGGCACCTTTGGGTGGTGTGTCCTTTGGAGCCCGTGCCCGTGCAGTCAGTATTTCTTATTGAGCTGCTATCTCAGAGCAGTGATTGTAGGGCTTTATTTGCACCACTGTGATTTGTTTGGAGGGGTGCAGACAACATAGTTACATGCTCGTTGGAGTTAGTCGTTTGTGAATGAAGCGCATTAGGGGGGCCACTATGCATGCCGTGACCTGGTATTCCTTCTTGCCTAGCCTATCAAAAACCCTCCAGCAGGAAAGAAGTATGTAAGATGTCCATGCAACTGTCTTCTAATCTGTAAAGATACGTCTCGGAGGATAGGATGTCCCAGGCCCAACTGGTAAGTGTGGCTTAAGGTACTACTAGGCCCACAGTGGCCAGACCATGAATTGTGATCTTTGGACGGTGTACTAGTTTTTCCTTAGGCAAGATGTGCGGAGGATCAAAAGATTCGATTTTTTTTTTTCTCTGTGCGAGATAAGGGTGGGTGTTTCTTTCATGAAAGAAAAGGCTGACCGTGCAGGACACCACATTTTAGGCATTATTGCTGGAGCCCTTTGGAGGTGTGTGTTTAGAATTCATCCAATAATTAAACAATTGTTATTTATTTCATTAAGTGTCTGGGGATTCAGATTTTTTTTAACCTGGACACCACAGTGCCATCCTTTAAAATGTATTTGAAGGAAGTAGAAGTGTCCTTCATATATGATGGTCATGTTGCATTAAGTTAATTGGCATCAACCTTGTTTACTGTTTGCTGCTTACTATGATTTTCAAATTACAGAAATAAAGTGTCGCCTGTTGCTAAACAATATGCCTAAAACTTCACTTGCTTATTTTGTTTTTAAGTAAATGTTGAATACTGTTAAATAGAAGGAGGAAACGGAAAACCTCAGAAAGGTAAAACCCATCCTCATTTTGGATGGATTATCAGAATTTGGAAACTTTGGGCAAAAAAACTGAAATCAAAACTCGCACTGTGTAGCAGCTTATTTTTAAATATGTATAATTCAGCTCACAGTGACAGTATGAGAAATATGTTCCTCCATTCTCTGCTCCGTGCTGTAGAATATACAGGAGGGGACTGTATTGAGAAAATGGGAGATAGTATGTGTGTTGCGTGTGATCGTACAGACAGGGCTGAAGGCCGGCGTGTTAAAAGCTGCCTGTGTCGAGGCTGTACTCCTCTCCTTTCCCACAGCAGACGAATAATCAATCTCAGCCCAGTGATGGTGATTCCAGAGGAGCAGCCCGCGCAGCCTGCTCTGCCAGTCCAGCCCGAAGGCATGCGCGTATTGTGCGGACACTGTGGCAATACATTCCTAGTAAGTACGACCTGCCCGGACTTGTGTGACCTGCTTGAAAGCAAGGGAGCTACACCTCAGAGTAGGATACTCTGCTCTGCTGAATCCTTGCTTTGTTTTCTGTTATTTATGTTTTGGGAACAATATTGCATGTCCTCAAATTTAATACATTCTGAACAAGGCTTTCATTTTAGTGTCTGTGATAAAACGGCAGGCTGATGGATTTGAGAATTTTTTTTAACTAAAAATACGTATGTGGTAAATGAATTTATCTGACAGATGCTTTCATCCAAAGGAACTTTTATTTGCACCCATTTGTACAGCTGGGTATTTTACTGGAACAGTTTGGGAGAAGTGTCTGGCTCAAGCGTACAAGCAACAGTGTTTCACATGGGATTTGATCCCACAACTTTTCAGCTAAGTCCAGTTAAGTCCAGGATCCTAACTTCTGCCTTCTCTTAAGTTATAGTAGCTAATGTATATAACACTTTTGAATCATTAACTTCAAAATAGTGTTGCTACAGGAGCAGTGATTTTTATTAAGGGTAAATTTGAGGGCCTGAGTGTTTGATCCCGCGCTCTGAAGCTCAGATATTTGCAACATGTAATATTTAGGAATTTAAAAATAGAACTGGAACCTTAAGATTTTGATTGAAATCATTTATACAAAAGCTGATATGATAAGCATAATGTTATGGTACTGACAGTATTCATGAAAAAAGGCACGAGCATTTTTTGTTTCAGTTTGTTGCAATACCAGTGACTCTGTCATAGGAGCCTCTAAGAATGTTTAAGATGTACCAATGAGAAGGAAAGCAGGCAAAGGACTGAATTTGTGTTATTTTCAGAAATGATACTAGCTTAATTTATGTGTCTATAGTGCTGTGTCCTCTTTAAAAAACGAACATCCGATTCCTAAAATAATATTTTCTGATCTGTGATTGTGTTACTTCACAGCATGTAATAAGCCAGCAAACATGTTAGATCATGAAGCAGTGTTCAGCGTGACAGGGGCAACCCCAGTCTGAGGTGCAGGTCACTTTCCTAGAGCACCGTTACGTTAACGGACTAGCCTGCTCCATGAGCCTTGTCCCTAAAGGCACGACGAAAGCACTTTACATTTCGCATGAATCACAGTAATCATGTTGTCAGGCCTAATGTATAATTCTTTCATTTACAGTGGATGGAGCTCCGATTCAACACATTGGCAAAATGCCCACACTGCAAAAAAATGTAAGTTTCTTGTTTGTTTTTTTTTACATTTTCTCTGGAGTGTATATATTATTCCTTAGGAGACAGTGAAGCTAAGAATATCTAATGGTTTCTGCTTTGGTTTTAGTGACAATCTCTAAGTCAATATAGAGGAAAATAAGAAACCCGTAGCTGGTGATAGATAACATTGATATGGGAATGACTCAGTAAGAGCTCTGTGATGCCAGACAGCTGTCAGGCAGTAACAGGGGAATGGGACACCTAATACCAGTGTAAGTGGTGTTGCTGTCTGATGAAGCTCAAGTATAGAATATAGAGTGATGGTAAGATTAATTAAGAGGACCTCATAGTAGGAGATCTGGCTTCTAGTCCCCTGTGTACTTAATTCTGTTTTAGGCAATCCAGTTGTTTATGTGATACAGATGTCATTTCAAGAGCCAGCTAAAAATATTATATTAAAAGATCTGGACAAATTTGCTGTTTGTTGCCAGCTCCCTGAATTGAATTTAAAAGGTCTGCCGCACATATGGAAACAATTGAGGTGATATAAGTAAATGAGTTAACTTTATCATCAATTTACAGATTTAGAAATGGCATGACAAGAAACAACCAGTGGAACCTCCCAAGCTTAATTTATGATTCCAAATTCTGTAAATGGTCCCTTTCGCCACCTACCTAAGCAACATTTAAAACACACACATGAGAAATGTTGCTGTACAGTGTTCATTAATATCTGCAAGTCTAAACTTTAGAAATCTTAGGAAGCTGTGTCAGAAAGGTATTACAGTGTAAATCCAGTCACATGCAAAACATGTGAGATGTTGTTCTAATTAGACAAGACAGGGAGCTGGATGGGTCACATGATGCACTGTGGGTTTCTCCTGCCAAAAATAATACTGAAACTCTGATCTGGGCTGCAGTCTAGCTGGGTTATTTATTCACTTTTCTGTTGTCTCCGGCCCCCAGCAGACTCTGCTGCGTATGTTACCTGTTATTAGCAAGCCTTAGGTATTTCTCTTGACTGCATCTTTAGTATTTGCTGCTTTTTAATATTCAGCTATTTCAGTCAATGCCAAAGAGTACTACGCTCGCTATATGTGAGACACTTTCCTCTCCTGTATTTCTGCCAGTTAACCAGTTGGTTGACAATCTGTTGTCATTTAGGCATTGCTGTGCCTTGGAGTGTAATACCAGTATTCATGCCTGCTGTGAGCATGTTGCAGGCTTCTAGACAGAATTGTTATAGTACTCCTGTCAACATGTGCTGGAAAGTACAGCAGTATATAAAGAGCAGATTTTAACATAATGCATATTTTAATGTTGTTAAGAGCTCAGAGAGTCTTGAATAGTTGTTGCTGATAGGCGTTTTTCTTCTGTTTATTGCCTTGTCATATTCCTTTGAGCACTCCTCATAACGGGTTATAAAAGTTCAAGTAGGGAGCTGCGTCAGCATGCGTAGGCTGCAAAGGAACAGGTAAAAGTTTATTCCATTCTCAAAGGATGGAAGAAGGCTTCACAGCCGAAATATTCTCTCTTTTCCTTTCCTTTCTGGAATAAACCTTAACCTATTCTTCATAACTACCTGTATTCCGCAGAGCCACATTACATAATTCAAGGACAAATACAAATCCTTACAGAAATATTCAAGAAAATATTGTAAAAATAATCCTTGTGGATTCCATGAATCCTGATGGATGTTAAGCTTAGTTTCCTAGAATTCTCTTACAAAATCATAGTGCTTGTTTTAGGAACATTTTAATGTAATGGCATACCACGTTTCTCTTTTCTCTACCCCATGTGGCACAAGCATACATAAAATCAAAAAGCTTAAGCTGTTTTACCAGTAAGGGTGCAAATGTCAGGTGAAGACATACAGTATGGCCATTTCTGAAACCTGCTGAGATGCTTTGCATCAATTTCAGCTATAGTTAAAATTACAAGCAGGTGATGCCCTACAAACATTTTATTTGCAACTCCCATTGAGTGGCTCTTGATAGGGGTTGATTTCTGCCATTGGAAAGTATTTATGTCTCTTAGAATACAAATTTGAGAAGAAGCGGCATATAATTATGATTTCAGGCTTTTTTTGTCTTGTATTCCGGTGTATGCCACATTGTGTGGGTGATTTACTGTATCATTTACTGTACTTCAAACTCTTGGAAAAGACCCTTTTTGAGAAATGGTTTCAGTTTTGCTCACACAGCATGTGCAGACTTCCAAATCCAAACTGAGTTCACAGGTATATGGTACTGTGCTGTTTTATCGTTTCCTTAGGGAATAGATTGGTTAGAAATTGCCAGGATATTGATTGCCTGCATTAGCAGGCATATAAACATGTTTTTCAAGTTCCTTGCAAGGAGAAGTATTTTCATGTTATTCATACATATATTTATACGGGCTGCATATTTTCAAAGTTTGTTAAAACCAGAGACAATATTCGAGATGTTCATTAGTTTTCCATGTGGTCATTGTATCAGGATAAGTTAAAGCTCTGGTCTGGGTGTGATTAAAATGTGACATGACAATATTACCTTTCAAAGGTGACGGCAGATTTATGAAGTGCTTTCACAGTTCATAAAACAGGATGGTTGTGATGAAACCAGATGTGTGATTGAATTAGTGCCAATAATCAGAGTATGGCTCATGATACAGAAAAATAAAAATGCTTAAAGATGGAATTTGGTAGGAAGTAGAATTTCAAGTGATAACGCAATGGGAATTCTTAACTGCAGGCACAAAATGAGCAGTGTCATTTCTTATTAAAATTAAGGCTCTTTCTGTTTGATACTGCAAGTGCTTTGAAGGAATGTTTAAATAAGTTGGTGCTGTTTCTCCAGATCTTCTGTCGGTAGTGCTCTTCCACGAAGGCGTTGCTGTGCATACGTCACTATCGGCATGATGTGCATCTTCATCGGTGTCGGATTAACTGTAAGTACAGTTGTGGGTCCTCCTTACCCATTCAGGCCTTGCTTTTATGTTCAATGCAACTTCATGATATTCCAGTTTTTGACAATGCAGTGTAGCTGTAGAATATTATCTAGCGTAATGAAATAAGAATAACACCAAAGTTAAACCCTGCAAATTATTGATTTGGTATTTACCCTATTACAAAAAGAAATAAATATGTTCTTAACTAATTTTCTTAGGTTGAGTAACATAGAGGGGGTGATATGTAGTAATTAAAACAGACACTAGTATTATCCAGCATTGTAGCCCAGCATTATTTTCAGCATATTTATGCTCTGAATGTGAGTTGCTTACCACAAGAGTTCTTTATACCCTCAAATGTTCAGATATGTTCCCCTGAACAAGTCTGCTGTACATAAAATCAACTTTTAAATGATAGCTGTAATCACGATGTTCTTGTTAATTCCTTATCTAACTTGTATTTGTTTTTCTTACTCTTTCTGGAAGGTTGGTACCCAAGACTTCGCTAGACGTTATCATGCCACCTATGTATCCTGGGCTTTTGCCTACCTCCTGGGTTTAATCTGCCTGGTCCGGGCTTGTTACTGGGGAGCTGTTAAAGTCAGCTATCCGGAGAACAGTTTTGCATAGACTTGTCTTTAACATGCAGTTTTTCTTTGACCTTTTTTCTCTCTTGTGGATTCAGTTTGGCAGAGTTGGATGCTAGACGGTGGACATTTTACACGTTTTAAGTACTGCGTTTTGTTACCAACTAGACCAAAAGAAGTAACCTTTTAAGAACAATTGCCCATTGCACTACATTTTTATGCAATTATTATTTTCTTTTGCTGCTAGATTGCCCAGCTCGAAAGACATCAGCTGAGTTCTAATGTGTCAGAAACAGCCTGTATGTTGTTTTTTTTTTAGAATAACCTGAACTGCAAGGACTTTTATTGTGTTACATCCATTGTGTCATTAATAACAGATTCATAAATATACTTTATAGGTCTTAGCCTTTCAGAAACAGTAACTTGTACTGTATGTTCTTGAACCTTAAAATTAACTTCATCCTGTACCGCTTGCATTCAGTTTAAGCAATAAACCTTATTTTAGGTCATTCTGGTCATCAGCTCTACACATGTAATGTATTTCAACACTTCAACTGCCTTCTAACAGGTTGGTAAAGATTCTTTTTACCACAGATGTTAGAAATCGCATATGCATGGTTTTCTGCACCAGTGTTTGAGTTGCCTATGTCAGAAAAGGAACAGTTAGAGTATTTAGAATCCTCTCTATGTAATTCCCTGTAATGTATTGTGAAACTTCTTCCTGCTTACAGCTTGTTTCTTGGATCTATAACAATTCAGTAGCATCTACAATAGTTCAGAATTCTGTTGACAAAATGGGCACAATAAATATCTTGTTCTGAATGTGGAAAAAACTTTGTACATTGAAAAAACACTAAAAGCAGTAGTTCACGTTGAAATATGCCTTGTGTCTTTTTAAAAAGGATAATAATTTATCAATAAAACTATAAAACGTTTCTTTATGTTTCACAGATTTTCTTCCTTCTTTTTTGATGTGCTCTGTAATAAAGACCAGTTTACTACAGCAGCTCTGTTATCAACAGTTCTAAATTCCTAGCTTATGAACTCGCCAAACTTTGTCATGGTGCATCATCTTTATTGAATGTTTAAACTTGTTTAGTCTGTTTACTACTTGGATTTATTAGAAATTAGCAGGTAAATTCCATTGGAACAACATCTGGGGATGTTCTAAGGGAACCATATAGAAGCATTACGTTTTAAAATTATATTTTAATTCTGAATTGACTGAATTCTGAATTGACTGAATTCTGTATCTCTTGAGGACGTCTGAATATATACAGTATACAGACATTTCTGGCCATTTTTTTCCATGTCAGATTTCTCTAAATCTCCTTTAATTTGGTTGGCCATTGTTTCCATCTCTCATGAATCCCTAATCCTTTTGATTACCTGTAAAATATCTGCCTGAATCACAGAAAAGAGCACCTTAAAACAGGTGTAATACAGTATGGTCTTATGGTCTTTATTAAAATAACTAGAGTTGAGAGTAACTTTTTTTAAGGAAGTTAGAGCAGGATGGCGAGATGATCTGTGTTGGAGTTGGAGTGAAAGGAAGATTGATGAGTACAAGATGCCAACTTGCATAAATGTGTTTGTACAACTTCTGGGCATTTTTTCATTCTGTCTTAATGTATTTACTTGCATCTTGCAATATTTACTGTGTCACTAACATAACATGTAGCAGTGTTCTAAACCTTTTCAGTATTGAAGTGAGGCTGACTTGAGCTTTTAGATTTCGTATTTGGTAAATGAGAAAGAAGAACATCTGGCGAAGTCTCTAGTTGAAATTTGAAGTGCTGCTCACCTTCTGTTTATTGTATTTCTTCCAATCATTATGTCCAGTCTGAAAAAATGACTTTTAGAATTCTCTTCAATTCTTCTTCTACTGTGTTTTCAGCTGACAAATCTGTCATGTTTACTAGCCAAGTATGAAAGTCAAAATCAGATGTAACTTTTTTCAATCAATAAAAGCAAAGAAGTGATCTTAAACACTTATGGTATGTGTTATGGTACCTCACTAGTTACTACAGGTCACTGAAAAAAGAGCTTTTATCCTTTATCATACACTTTTTCTAATACATTAAGCAGTTAGAAAACCACAGTGCTGTATGCACTGAATTGGACACTTAACATAGGCTCCAATAATCAGGACTCAGGAGCCTCACTGAAGGAAAAAATAATTTTATAAACATGGTGCCATCCATTTTCAGTATCAGGCTACTATAAGCCAGAGTGCATCTGTGAACAGGGGGCAACACAGGACAACCTGGGGGCACCAGTTATTCTGAACCGTGGGAGGAAACTGGAGTATCCACAGAACATCCATCCACCGGGAGCCTACAGTATGTACGTCCGTAAAGATGATACTTCAGCCCAGAATTGAACCCATGACCCAAGAGTTGTGAGGCAGGGGTGTTCACTGCAGCACCAATATGCTGCACATGGAAAGAGCCCATCGATGAAATTTCATATAGTGCGCAACACTGAATTTAACTTGCACGTTGTCTGCTTTAACATCTTCACCACAGCCCACACAGTTTTCCATCCTGATTTCTTACGCCGGGGATAGAGTGCTGTTTAGTTTGCGATGGCTAAATATTCCAGGAGCCTGATGTGCAAAGGACCAACATACTGTCGTTTCAGGTATAGCATTGAAACGTGGGGGCCGGAGCTGGGTTCCCCTGAGCAGCAGCGTGGGGCGGTAGTTGGGGCGCTGGACACCTCCCTGGAGGATCATGGGATCATCGATTCCTGACATAAGAACACGAGACGAGCGGAGGCCATCCGGTCCATTTGGAAACTAGTAGGGTATTGATCCAAGTTTCTTTCAAGGCTGGGCAAGATTCTTGGATCAATAAAACACCAATGTTACTGGATTAACACAACCTGTCCTTCTGAAATTAAAATCCTTGATAAAATGCGCATGTATCGCTAGAGACCAAATGTCTTTTCCATCATTCGCCACCAGATAGCAGTAATGATTCGTGTATTTTCAAAGTTGTATACCGTTCTCTGTCTTCACAGCTACACTACAGCGTTTTTAAACGACTACGGGCGAATACGTAAAAGGATTAAATCATTACTAGTAGCAATAATTTTTAAATTCGTCCATGATTTATGTTAGTGGCAATCTATACAATAAGTATGGTAGCAATTAAACTTTGGAATACAATCTAGAAAAACGGACGAATTGTGATCTCTGTAGTACTGTATGGTTTCTGTAAGGTTGATCTGCTGTAGTGTTGGTTATTCATTCTCATTTCCATGTTCTTTGCCTTTCTGCTGTTTCGACCGATGCAATTAGCTGGCAGTGTTCAAATAAATGTTATTAGAAATATCATATCGATGTTCATATTTCGTTTTGAAAGTGACATTTTAATATAATGTGATACAAGTACAGTACAGTAACTCGCTCTTTCTGGTTGGTGGTTGTTTAGTATCTAAAGTAGGCTTGTGGAGTCGCACTGCAGGAGACATTTAAGATGTTGGAAATTAGTTTTACCTCCCGTTTCCAGGCGAAAAAAATCAATACGATAATATTTCATTAACTTTTTTTATATTGTGGCGGTACTGTATATTAAAGATATTGTATGAAATATACAGTAGACCAGAGACTACAGAAGTGCAGATCTGTTTTACAAGGGATTTGGAAAATTCCATGAGCCAATTCAGAAAATTAGGTATGATTAATGTTGTTTTTTTTTCTAATTACAAGTATCCTTGTACAATGGTTAGACTTTTAACAGTTGATTACAAGTTAGCTTATACCTTAGCCTTATTCAACGAGGTAAGCGTCCTCCCTTTAAGTATTTTAATTTGAACTGAGCAGTTCCTCCTGTCCCAGAAGAACCCGGACTGGGCAGACAAAATAAAATTGACGTCACGATCTCCTCAGGAAAGGGTTTAGAAATAAGCGCCGCGCAGAATTGCTTATGAAGTCAATTTGGTGTTGGATGTGGTGGCTTTTAGACCACGCTTCAGGTTCGATAAACGTCAGATATGTTCTAGCAACGATGCTCTGTTCACCTTTTCCGACAGCTTCACCATTAAGGGCAAATTGCTTAATGGTACCTTAAGGTGCCAACAGTACCTTAAAGTTCCTATTAAATGATAAGAAGGGATTCAAACAAGAGGCGTCCCATTTGGCACATCTGATTACTTTGTTTTTGCTTGAGCTAAGTGGTTTACGGATCTCTAGCAGCTGCTTCTGGAAACTACGGTGTCAGCTTCAATAACCTGGCTGGGCAGCTTGTTCCCCCCTCCCACAACCCTTTATGTACAGAACTGCCTCCTGTTCTGAGTTTTAAATGCATGTCCGCATAGCTTTCACTTGTGTCCTCTGGTTTGGGTCTTCCTGTTGATTCTGAAAAAGTCCACAGGGTCACCTTTGTAAGCTCCTTTGAAAATGTGTGATTTAAAAATAAAAACTTGAGCAAGGTTCCCTCACAATTTTCTCTCTGGTCTAAAAAAGGTTTGTTTCTTTTAGCCTGTGAGTGAAGGAGCCTGAGAATAGTCTGAACCTGAGGATGAATGTTCACTGGGCTGTTTCTAGCACAGCAACATCTTATTTATTGTAGAAATTATAAATGAGGCCTTACTAGTATATTATACAATTAAAAAAACACATTGTTCAATGTGAATTCTGCACTTATAGAGGGTATATATATACTAACATGCCCAATCTTGAATTTGGCTAAAATCTTGTTAAATTTGACTTGCAGCTCCAGTCTACAGTCCTTTCCATATTGCTGTATCATCTGCAAACTTGAATAGTTTCCTCCAGAATCGAGATCTAGATCAAATGTCATTCCAGGATTATTCGTTCCATAACCTTGTGCATAATGGAACTCAGACTTAGTTGTCTACATTCACTTGGACCAGTATTGTCACAGTCTACTTGATAAACTACTCTTACAATTTAAAGAGATATCCAACAATTCCAAACATGGGCTATAATTCCAATCATGAAAAACAAATTAAACATTAAACATTTTCTCAGACCCAACACAAATAATATGTTCTGTTGGAATGTATGCAGAACTGTCCCACCACAGGCATACAGAGTTTACCCCCTGTTTACATGATATATAAACTGGCAGGATTGTGGGTTCGACATAAAGTAGTTCAATAAAATGATTAATAAATCATTTCGACATCACGATTACATTTCGAAGTGCGTAAATGTTGAAGACGATACTACAGATAATTCAGCACTCCTTAAATATTTAACCAAGGTGGACTTTACATAGCAACTTCAGTATTGGGGCATTTAATGAAATCCCTATCACCGTCTTTCACGAAACACAAGCAAACGGTAAAGCGGAGGTTATTGTCAGCTGTGTCTCAAAGGGTAATTCCCAAAATACTTCTACCTTGCAAAGCAGAAAGGACAAGTGAAACACACAGTTCGGACTGTGGATCTGTAAGCGTGTACTTGTCTTTCCGTGATATGTCCTGTCCAACGTTACTTTAGTACTACCTGTATAAAAAAATAAAATGTTGAACTCGGCCAGACTTTTCGAAGTGGAGCTGTAAAATCGGTTTCGGAAATCGAACAGGTTTGCTTGTTTACGTCTTCCCTTATTCCTACCAAGCACCTGAGGACAGGGATGTCCGGAGCCTGAGCACGGGGATTTTATTACGGGGTATAGGACGGCGACAGCTCGGAAACAAGTCAGTCCGTTTTGCTGTAAGGGGGCCGTACCGATCATGTTTGGCACATCGGCAGTGTGATTTTATACAGGTGTTCCGAAACAAGCAATCAGTACACAATGACCAGATGAACAGCAAGGGACCATACTTTTTCATTTCCATGTCAGCCCTCTTCGACTTTATAGGAAGAGGATGATGATGATGATGATGATGATGATAATTATATGAGCGACATCTGCCCATCCGACTCGCTGGTCCTGCTGCGGTTTTCCCCGACACTTCGGGCCGATCGGGAGACTCCCCGCGGCGGGTCCAGTGTCATTCCTGTTGCGGGGGGAAGCGGCGACGCCGAGCCGAGAGAGGGCTGCTGCGGCGGCAGGACTGGTCCCCAGGAGAGAGAGGGGACGAGGACGCAGTCCCGGGCCGCAGCGTCACCGCGGGCAGGGGGACCTGTCGGGGCGCAGGGGCAGATGAGACTGGAGTTCGGCCGAGCTCCAGGTAAGCTTATCGAACCGTTTCCTTCTTCCATCTTTGTTTTTTTCTCATCCATTGCGCACTGTTTTCGTGACCCAAACTAATCCTCTCACGTAAGGATGGGTGGGTGCGTTGGGGGGACTGTCAGCCCGTTTAACTTCTGTCGTTGCGGTTTAGGAATCACTGGCTCCCCCCTCTACTCGCCCAAAACACAAATCAGTTGATGTAATTCGCTTAATCAGCGAGTTAAGTGTGTGGTGGACACCGGCGGTCAGACGTCGTTTGAAAACAGTGGGTAAGTCATTGTCGTGTTCCGTGTTTCGTCGATGGTAAATCTGTATTTTAATGACTTGTGCTACTTACTACATACATGAAATAAAATGCCATTAAAAGAAAGCAACGCCCTGGCTTTTGTGCTCCAGACCTGTACAAATGAAATCAGATGGCTGTCGGCCGATAGAAACTCTGTATGACAACAACTGAAGCATATGGAAGTACCCGATGTCGTGAGGTTAGGGCTGTTACTGATTTTATTACCAAGAAAAGTAAGCAAGGACAACCAAAAAATTTAAAGTTTGTATTTTTACATTTACATAGTATTTTTTAGTGTTAAAAAGGGGGGTAAAGAGATTTCTTTTCCGATGTAGCGAAATGGGTGACTGAGAAAATTAACATGAATAAAACATAAAACATTTTCCTAATGGTTGATTTGTGTCCTATGCAAGGAGCAGGACAGACTCGGTAACTAGGCCAGTGGCTGAATCATGTCGTCCCACGGGGCTATTCAACTGCTGGGGCTTGTCAGTGCTAAAACACTGCTATACAGATGCCGAGTTACCTACAGTATCATTGACGTTTCATCTTCTCTG